ATGGCATTACTGGAGGTCTAAGCTGTATGTTGTATACTATAGCTGGAAGGAAACGGCAGTGCATAGGTGCATAGTGAGGATTTGTGTGCTATTAATCTGAGTTTATCATAATTCCATTGGTTTCTTGAAGCAGCTGATTACATGAATTATGTCAATAAAGTAGCTAGAAATAGCGCCAACACAACTTATTTTATTTCATAAATATAAATATAAAAACAGATAAAAACAGGACAAAATATCAGTTCGAACGAAAAACCTGAAAAAGCAGGCACTTTTAAAAAATACAGATTCCTCATGAATGTGGGAACTCTGAGTGAAATAATAAATCAATAAATAAAACAAGGATTTCACATAAATAAAAAATTCGTGAAAGATAGATAGATTGCGCAAAGCAAAACTATCAACTGTCAATCGATCTCAACCACTCAACCTATCTGATATCTCACTTTCACTGGATAACAAGACATACGAATAAAGCAAGATGATAGTATGGATAAGAGAGAATGTTAAGGCAGCACAGAATATACACGCATAAATATAGCTCAAACAGCGGATAAAAAGCATCAACGATAGTAAACAGGCTTCTCCTACATGTTTTTCCGAATAACAGCTTATAAATAACAGGTTGCTAAATAACAACCCACATCTACTTCCTAAGAACTTTTAGAGGCATGATCAAATATTTTAGTTTATCCTCAATGCTCTAAATTTTAAATACTATGTTGGTTATAAAATTTTGATAGCAATTATTAGATTGGGATTGAACACTCAAAGAAGGAAACAATTGGAATGAAATGAATCGAAACTACCTCACAACTATCCAGGTAAAACCTTATCGTTGAGGTACATGCCCTTAGGAAACGCCGATGTTTAAAATGTGACAAAATCACACACAATCATATGTTTTCAACGGTAAATACCAGTTTAATTTAAAGTGTCAACAACTGTTAAGCTGGCGGTCTAAGTCTGATCCACTTATAGTATGCACTTGTATCCTGACTACTGTCTAGGAGGTTTTGGAACAAATAAATCGCATGCTAGCTCCTTCTATCTATTCTCAATTTGTTAGTTAAGACCCACATTTTGCTACAAGTAGCTCATTGTGATAGTTTCTATCAATAGCAGAATAGTTCTTCAAAACCGATCTGTTTACGTTTTCAAGTTCTATATCATTTTCACATTAAGGTAAACATTTTGGTCCCGATAGCAAGGCATGAGGACCATTTTTTGAGTAAGAGCCGTTTTGTAATAGAGTCAGAGAAACATTATTTATGAACGTAAATTGTAATAGGAATTAAAATATGAAAATTTTTCTTTCATCTTTTAACGTAAAGTCACTGTAAACATTTGAACATTTGTCAATTCGAGGCAGCAAATTTTGGATCCTACCATCAAAGCACGCTGCTGCGTGACCGTAAAACCAGTTAGTAACCATTTCTTTCAACATGTCATCATTTTCCAAGCGCTTTCCACCACGATTCGGACAAATGTAACAGTCTGATGGTGTCAGAGCTGTATCGCGAATGATCCAGCAATTGCCAACATAACTGCGTCTGTTTCCGCGTTCAAAAACCTAATTACTGGGCGCACTTCACAATCGGCAGGTTTTATGAGTGTGAGGCGTGTCTAAGGTTGAACGGACGTCACGTGACAGGATGCGCGGACACGAGGCGCAACCGGCTCTTACTTTACAAATAGCCCTCGTAATTCAAAAATAAATATTGCACTACTATCTCATTATTTTGGTATAATATTCTGCACATTGTTTGAAGAGTAATTCGTTGTTATAATTGCAGGTCGACTTCACTTCAACTGAAAAGGCATCAGATGCATTCTTGGGTATCTTTATAAAGAATGTAGTACCTGATAGCCCTGCAGGAAAAACTGGACAATTTAAAGTAAGGATTAACCCTTGTTTATGAAAAATGTTAAAAAATTTGATAGAGAGTTTTTGGTGCTCTTGTTTTATTGCTTCGATATGACCTTCCTTATTTCGATTTTGCGAAGTAGCAGGACAAACTTTCGTTATTCGTTATTCAAATAAGACTCCATAAGCTTCGGAGAATAGGAAGATTATTTTTGCCTTATCCCAAAATTCTTAAAGCTGGATGAGCTTAATTAGAATAATTTCAAGTTATGAAAACATATTGGTTAAAATATAATAGAGTAGGTCACAGTTAACAATAAACGTAAGAAATAGGTAAAATATTAAATAAACTGAATTGTCCTGATATTTGTTAAGCATGCAATGTGGCAAGGTTGCGTCTACTTGTTGGCTTTATTATTCTGAACTTATTTATTTCTTGTCCAGTTTGGACACAAATATTACTGGAACTTTTCTATGGAAACATATATACAAGGTTTTGAAATTTTGGGTTTAGCTTCTCGTCAAAATCGAAAAAATAAGTAAGCTGTCAAAACTGTCAAACTACCACGGTTCACTTTAGTGGTCATGAAAACACTGTTTTCGTCGTTATTTGCTGTCGCTGTCAAATATAACGGAAGGCTTAACGATTCGTTCCTTTTGCTGCGCTAAAAACTCTCTTATGTCAATATAAAATAATTGTCTGATGACTATATTATTGCAGACTGGAGATCGTATATTGGAGGTCAGTGGGATTGATCTGAGACATGCGACCCACGAGACAGCAGTGCAGGCCATCAGAAAAGCCGATAATCCTGTCACGTTTGTCATACAATCTTTAATACCGTGGGTAAGGGAATAAAGTATATTATATTTCTTATACAGGGTGTTTCACAACTTTTCTGACAAATTTTAACCACATATGCACTGTTACGAAAGAAGTTGGTTTCTCAAAAAAAAAATGTAATAAAAGTCCTACAGAAATCGAGATAATAAAACAATACGTTTAATAGTTCAATTACTTATAAAAGCTGTTCAAAATTGTTTCCATTGACTGCAATGCAAGCTTGGGCGCGTCTCATCCTATTTCGGCGCACTAATTCAAGTACACCTCCTTCCTGCTGTTGCTGAAGGCTTAAATTATCGGCAGCCACTGTGATTCGGTCATTCAATTCTTCAATATTCTGAACTGGAGTACGGTATACCTCGTTTTCAAGTCTCCCCATAAAAAGGAGTCCAGAGGATTTAGATCGGGAGGCCGTGGAGGCCATGCAATTGATCTACCCCTTCCGATCTAGCGTATCTGGTATACCTGATTCAAAAAATCACGAACTTCTAAACAAAAATGCGGAGGTGCCCCATCGTGCAGAAACCACATCCGTGCTCGGACCGCCAATGGTACATCTTCAAGAAGGACCGGCAAATCATTTCGAAGAAATTCCAAATGCTATTGATTTATTAATTCATAACTAAAAACAAACTCGCTGAATGCTTTCTTATTTAATTCACAAAAATTGACCGTTCTTCATTCAGATCACCCACGATACAGATTAAACAATATTTTCACGTTCTTATCAGTATGGATACAAATCCTTGTATTTTGCTTTCATCAGTTGTTTGGTATAACATTCGCTACAATACATTATTAATGCGTGTTCTAATATCACGACGATGAACACAAAATACACATATTTATTTTTCAATCTATTGTTGAAACTCAGGCTTATAACTTAATTTCTGTAGGACTTTTATTACATTTTTTTTTTGAGAAATCAACTTCTTTCGTAGCAGTGTTTATGTGGTTAAAACTTGTCGGATATAGTTATTGTGAAATACCCTAGATAAAGCATTTTGACATGAACTTAACGGAATTTGAAAGTCTAGAAGTAGAGGGCACTAGTTAGGTTGGTGGTCATCTTTAGGGTTATACACAGACAAGGATGTCTTTTGCTGATCAGCTTTTACGTCAGTAGATGTCAAAACGTGACGGAGTTATGGAAAACAGGTCTCTCTGTCAAGCCTGTCTTTTCTCCATCTACTTTTGTCAGCGTGACCTCCGACCACACAAGCTCCACCTAATTGAAGCAAACTGGAACACAGCTGCCTTTGAAGACTAGCTAGCATTCTGGCCTTATGAGCTCTTTAGATCGAGAGCCTCCCTAATTATTAATAGTGTCATGTTCAGTTTACGTTATGCATAGTAACTGCATTGCCCAAGCACTGTACAAAAGAATACAAAATAACACAACTAACCGTTCTTGCCCTTAAAATTAGAGCTGGTTTAGTCTTGAACGAATCGTTCCAAAGGAACTATACCACAGTAGGTACCGAAGGAATAATAATAATAACAATAATAATAATAATAATAATAATAATCATTTAGAAAATTATCATAGTATGGTGAAGTTAAGCCATGGCACTCTACCACTTAACCACTCTACAACCAGATATCACAAAACAGTAGGATAACAACATGAATCAGATGAACTTAAGCGGTGCATTAGAAAGAAGCAAATATAGAATATGAACATATAGAAAGAATAGAACCAATAGAATGCACCTACTATAAGCAAGCTGTTATTTGGCAAGCGTCCTTCTGAAACACCTCGTAGACGCAAAATTATTATTAATATAAGATATATATGATTGGAAAATAGAAAATAATCATCCCCATCCACAAAAAAGGAGACACCCTAGACTGCAACAACTATAGAGGTATCGCGCTGCTTTGTAAACCTTTGAAAGTTTATAAGAGTGGGCTCAGAAAAGGCCATAGCATACAGGAACATATATTTACAATAAAACAGCTAATCCAAAAATGTAATACAAGGAACGCGGTACTTAGCCTAGCTTTCTTATACCTGGAAAAAGCGTTCGACAATATTCCAAGGAAAATTGTGTGGACAGCATGGCCAAACGAGGAGTACATAACCACCTAACAGAGTGTATACAAAGCATATACGACCAAAATATATGCTATGTTAGAAAGGATAACATGACGCCAGAGGAATTTATCATAGGAGATCGGCTGAGACAATGAAGAGTCCTGAGGCCGATATTATTCATTATGATTATGGATGATGTAATAGAGACTGTCAAAAGCAAAATTAAAAAAGTACATGTCGGTTTATACAAAATGAGACCAATAAATATTTCAGAGTGCGCATTGGCGGACGACCTGTTATTGTGCGCTTATACCACAAAAGACTTACAAGATAACCTTAAAATCTGGATACAGGAATTGTCGAAGAGAGGTTTGAATATTAACGTATCTAAAACAAAAGTGATGACGACAGCAGAGGGGAATGGAATGAATATAGTTACCAAGGGCGCACATATAAAACAAGTCGAAGCTTCCAAATATCAAGGCGATGCAACAATGGAAGAGGTAATCAACGAAAGATTTAATGAACGCATGTAGGCTCTATCACCCATTGAAAACATCTTTCTTAAGGAAGAAAATGATAAGCAGAAAAACAAAGATGACCGTATACAGAACAGTATTCAGACCCATATTGATATTTGGAAGCGAGAGCTGGGTATTAACTAACAGGCAAAAAACCAAGTTACAGGCTATTGATATGAAATACCTCAAGGCAGTCAAAGGAGCCACTAGGAAAGACAAGATTAGAAACGAAGTTATTAGAGAAGAGCTGGGAGTGGAATCTGTACTACAAAGGATTGAAGAAAACCATTCAAAATGGTTCGGGCATTTAGTAAGGATGAAGGAAACAAGGCCAGTAAAACCCATATGGGAAGCGAGAGTTCAAAAGAAAAGGGCAAAAGGGTGACCGAAAAAGACGTGGAATGTTGGATTGGCGAAAATACTCAAGAACAGGGAATAAGTTGGAACGAAGCAATGCGCCGGGCGAGAAATAAGAAAGACTGGGCTAAATTTTGTATATAATAACTAATTAGTTTAGAGAATGAAATAATGTAATTGCACCTTACACCTACTGGAATATAAGGTTTTCGATAATATATATATATATATATATATATATATATATATATATATATATATAGTATTCATAGGCAATTGCCTTAACTGATATCCTTTAATTTCTTTGGGTAGAAGGCAAAGTATTGCAAAAGTACACTCTTATAGCTTAAACTCTCAAGCTTTCGAAGATCTATCTCTTCATCGTCTGGAGTAAGTCGGCGAGATTGTTGCTGAAATTGTTTTTAAAACAACAGTGAAGGGAACACATAGTCGACGAATAAAAACTGGACTGATGAGGTTCGATTAGGACGGAATTATTTTATTATTAAATGGCACGACTCTCGGCCGGCACGTGTTGGAGAATGTGGAGGTTATCAGTGGAAAAAAAGATGAAATCTCGAAAGAATTTTCAATAGTTGATAGTTTTAAAATTTCCAAATTTCTTCCAAAATCAATCAACACTTAGTTAAACAAAACCTTTCAAAATGATCTGTCATTTAATAATAAAATAATTCCATCCTAATCGAACCTCATCAGTCCAGTTTTTTATTCGTCGACTATGTGTTCCCTTCACTGTTGTTTTAAAAACAATTTCAAGCAATAATCTCGCCGACTTACTCCAGACGATGAAGACATAGATCTTCGAAAGCTTGAGAGTTTAAGTTATAAGAGTGTACTTCTGCAATACTTTATATATATATATATATATATATATATATATTATAATATTTCTATTACTTTTCCATATAGAATCGACGGTTTTCTAGATTTCCGATCAAACATGTTTATCAAAATCATCACTATCATGACGTCAGTTTGACCTTACCATTAGGAAGCAATAATCCGACGATACCACAAAAATATTACTGTCCTCGAAGTTGTAGAATTTCCATATTCCATATTTCTTGGCCTATTGAGGTAACCGCGCATTTCAACTTGCAAATTACAGGGAATAGGAACCGAAAGGAATCGGAATCGTGAACGAATCGAAAGAACAATTCGGCTCAGCTCTATTTGGAATATTTTCGCATCACAAACATCCATTCAAATGTTTTGTAATGCACTTTGAGTCTACATAGTTAATTTAGCCGGTTACCTTTTCAGAAAAATGACGATTCTGAATCCAACGCAATCCCAGCAAGAAGACAAAGTACGAAGTCGAGAGCCGCTCCGCCGCCCCCAGCTAAAAGTCCTTCTATCAAGAGAGCTTCATTAAAGTCTCCAGCACCACCCCCACCTGAGTCACCCACGCCCAATGAGAATATACCGAGTCTTATATTCTCCAAGGATAGTGACGCCAATAAAAATACACAGGTAACTGATTTGTAGCTTTTGGAAAATCGTCCTCATGTATTATGTTTTACCATCAACCGTTAACATTTGTTGTTCTTGAAATAGGTAGTGAGTTGTTGAACATATAGTAGAAGTATTTCTACATGTTTGTGAGTTTAATACGCTTTTATTAGCTTGGCCTGTATTTATGATAGTAACGGAATCTTTGAGATAATTTTCATATTTTTACCAATTTCCAGAAGTTTGATTAATTTGAAGCTTCGCACACGTATCAATCTAATAACAGTTTTCCATTCTCCTTATTAGGACCGCCAGGATTGATAAATAATTCTTTTATAGATCCTCTTAGGGGAGTAAGAGAGATAGAGCTAGCTCGCGATCTGCTCATGCGTACAGTTTCGAACTTACTCTTTGTTGATTCGGGTACTCGGCACAGCACAATGGAGGCAGATACTTTTTCAAGGTAGTGCATTCTCAACTTGTTCATTGCGAATGTTGTCATCAATCCTGAGTCTTCGACCGTCCACAAGATGCAAGGTTGTACAATCGATAATGCAGTCATTTATCTAGGCTCGCGACTGTTTGCTGCTGGAAAAGCTTATGTAGCACTTAGTCGCGTAAGATCTTTAGACCGTATTCGGATTGAAGAACTTGATTGCTCTAAATTAACAGGAAAACCCCATGCAACAGTGAAGCTTTAAATGAAATGATTAGATTACGAAATGATTCGTAGGATATTTCAATACCTCATGTCTACAAAAAACTAATTGATAAATTGAACTAAAAAATTAAAAATAAATAATAGATAAAAAAAAAAACTAAAAAAAAAACAGATTTCATAGCTGAGTGAACTAACAAGTAGAAAATAATTTTTAATTACAGAATTTATATAGATGGTCGAACAATCAATCACAATTATTGACCTACAAAATAAAATTATAATAAAATTTAAGTTATTAACAGAATAATTTAATTCAGAGTATGGGGTGCATTTTACTACATTTTCATAATTCTCCTCTCATAGATAGTTGCTAATAGAATGCTTGTAATATATTATATATGTATATATAAAGAGAATATGATCCTGCGGAGAAAGGTATATAACAACAAGTGGGAAAATAATGGGCAAAATCCGCAAAAAGGAGGAAAGTGGATTCGAGCAGAAAATAGGATAGGTAACCCGAGCGATACGTATTTCTGCTGGTTGGCTTCATCAGGCCCGAAATGAATGCACATATGAAACCACAAAAGTAGATACACATGCCCACACATCCGGATACGGGTGTAACCTGAGGAAACGAAGTTGGAGGGAAAAAAAACCGACACACGAAGTCCACAACAAGAGGTAACCTACACATTGTAGTATAAAATGGCTATACGACCTCGAATTTTCAAGGAGACGTCTAACCACCACCACGCGGCCGGTTATAGCCACTTGCTGTGGTACTTCAAGCCCAAAGGATCTACAAAGAGAATATGATCATGCGGAGAAAGGTATATAACAACAAGTGGGAAAATAATGGGCAAAATCCGCAAAAAGGAGGAAAGTGGATTCGAGCAGAAAATAGGATAGGTAGCCCGAGCGATACGTATTTCTGCTGGTTGGCTTCATCAGGCCCGAAATGAATGCACATATGAAACTACAAAAGTAGATACACATGCCCACACACCCGGATACGGGTGTAACCTGAGGAAACGAAGTTGGAGGAAAAAAAAACGACACACGAAGTCCACAACAAGAGCCAACCTACACATTGTAGTATAAAATGGCTATACGACCTCGAATTTTCAAGGAGACGTCTAACCACCACCACGCGGCCGGTTATAGCCACTTGCTCGGGTTACCTATCCTATTTTTCTGCTCGAATCCACTTTCCTCCTTATAGAAGCGTGTTTTTTTAGTTTGTTTAAACTATTATTTATTTACACCAAGGTTTGCTCAAGGTTCTAGAAAATGCTTTTTTTTTTTCTTCGCGTGAAGAGTTGTATACTCGGCAATTTTTGTGATTTATTTTTTCGGATAAACTGCTGTTTACTCACTATATCCGGAGAAAGATACAAGGCTGAACATTTCCACATAGAAAAATGGCGAAAAAGGTTGACTCTGCACTCCCTACGCAACGCTGTCTCGAAGGATTGTGTTCGGCACAAGTTAGCCAAACAGGCTCGTACAATTAAAATTTGTATTCTTAGCATGCTTTACTTTGCAATTTTGGAGCTCTTTAGGATTTGCCTCCTGAGAAAATATGCTACCCCTGCATCTTTTAAATAAATAAAAATAAATGACGCCAACAAAAGGAGAAGTGCCTCTCAATTTGAAAGTGGAAGAGTTTTAGTATTATTTTTGTTGCCTAGGGTGAGGAGTACGTGATGTCTTTTTATGAAGCATATTACCTTGCAATAATAAATATTTTAACCAATGATACTGATCAATTCAAGATGTAAGTTATAGCCCAAATAAATCCGGTGATAATTCTCCGACCGGCATTCTTGTTACATTCAATATGTCATTTTAGTCTTGCATTCTTTCCAAATCCTTTTGCGCTACCTCTGGCATACTAATTAATAATGTTTAAGCACAGTATATATTGAGGTGGTATTATTTAAAAATCGGTTCAGTATACCTCCTCCTACAACTAAAATATAACTATTAATATTCTCGTGATTCTTAGATGTTCTTTATAAGACAATTGCGCCGTAACAAGTCCAACTGTCAAATTTTTTATTCGGCCTTGCAGGGAATTATTAGATTTCCTAGGATATTTTGAATAAAATGGAAATAATATTTTTTTTCTTTAGTACCATCGTGAATACTTATACAGTGTGTAACAAAACTTTGGAACGCATCGAATATATGACGAATGTCTCATCTATTTTTCTTAAAAATTGGTAAGTTTAGCTTAGAAACCATGGCGGATCTGTTGATGATATTCGCGATGTTGCCAAATCTACAGTTTTTCAGAAAGTGGTAAGAACTTTTGTTTTTCTTATGGAATGCTATATATTTTATTCGATACTTCTATTCTGCAAGAAAGTATGAATACTGTTTATTGAATATGCTTTGACGTAGACCTCATAGTTTTCGAAATATTCGCAGTCAAACAATAATATTGAAACACTAAAAGTTATTTATATTTCTGACATTTAAAAGTCCATTGAGTTTAGTTATTGAGAATGATTCATTT